ATCAGTATAATGAGACCCCATTTTATACCCATCAGATTGGCAAGAATTAAAAAGCCTGATAACGTCATGTTGGTGAGGCTATGGAGAAATGAGAACTCGTAAATTTCTCATGGTGCTATAAATTGGTACAAACCTACAATTCTTAATCTGTAATTCCAAAATCCAAAAATCTCTCAAAAACCAAAGATTTTTTTCCCCCTTAAGTTTGGCTTAAACTCCCTTTATAATAAAACCTGATCTGAACTAATTCAAGGCTATTTATAGTCTTAATTTTTCCCATTTAATATGATTATTCATATATTTTGCTGAAGAAACATTAATGTTTGATTATGGGGTGCCACCCTAGACCCCACTGGGGATTTTTGGTAATATGTGGTACATCCACCATATTACATGTTTAAATGTAAGTTTAAATTTTTATTCTTTAAATTTTCACATAGCAAAATTGACTCTGCTTTCCTTTTGTACAGCATATGAATTTTTTTTTTTCCTTTTTGTCTTTTTTCGTGACCGGTAACGGGATCGCAACCCTCGGTGTCGTGCCTGCACTGCGCTCAACCAGTGAGCAGACCGGTCTCTATATGGGATCCGAACCCTCGGCAGGAGCGCCGCCGCACTCCCAAGCGCAGCACTACCGAGTGCGCCACCGGGCCAGCCCAGCATATGAATTTTTTTTTTTCCTTTTTGTCTTTTTTCGTGACCGGTAACGGGATCGCAACCCTCGGTGTCGTGCCTGCACTGCGCTCAACCAGTGAGCAGACCGGTCTCTATATGGGATCCGAACCCTCGGCAGGAGCGCCGCCGCACTCCCAAGCGCAGCACTACCGAGTGCGCCACCGGGCCAGCCCAGCATATGAATTTTAACACATGTATAGACTTGCGTGACCACCACCACAATCAGGACACAGAACAACCCCCCAAATCTCCCTTGTTCTCTGCCTTTATAATATTACACCCTCCCCACAACCACCCCTTTCCCTGGCAACCATTGATCTGTTTTCCATCCACTATAGTTTTCTTTTCAAGAATAAATGGGACCATACAGCATGTTATATTTTAAAGGTCAGAAACATTCTGAAATTTGAAACAATATGGCACCAATGGTTTCAGAGAAAACTTGGAGAGGAACTAAGCAATATTCAGTACGAGCTAAAGATGTGTGTGCACCATGATCCAGCAACAAGATGCCTCGAAACCTCTCCACTCCCCACCCCATGTTTGCACAAGGGACATGTACAAGAATCTTCACTGAGTTCTGTGTGTAATAACAAAAATGGAAATAACCAACAGTCCGTCAGTAAGGGAATGGATAAATCAATGGAGTTTTATCCAAACAATGAAAAATGATATAGCATTTATAATTAATGAATCAGATCTACCTCTACCAACATGGATGAATCTCAAAAACATAACGAGTGAAAAAGCACATTTCAAAGGATTTATACAATACGATACTATTTATGTACACATACTGTTTATATATGTATTATTTATGTAATATAAATGTTATTAATAAATATTGTAATATGGATATATAGCTATGTAGTAAGAGCATATGTGGATGGACAAGAAGGATCCATACTAGCTGGAGAGTAGTGGTTATTTGTACAGGGAAAGGATGGGAGGTTTTAGATTTATCAGAACTTTTTCTTTAAAAAAAAAATATGAAGCAAATGTGACAAAATGTTAACATTTGCTAAAGCTAGGTGGGCAAGTGTAGGGGTGTTTGTTACAGCATTCTTTGTACCTTTTTATTTAAAATATTTCATTATGAACTTTTAAAAAGTGATTAAAGAGAAAAAAAAAAGACTAAGATTTAGTGCCAGGCAGAACTTTAGCGAGCGTCTCATTTAGCACCATGCCCCTTCCCCACTTTGTCGTTGGGGAAATAGAGGCTCAAGGAGATCAAGCCATCTGTTCAAGGTCACGGGGTAAGTGCTGAGCTGAGTTAGAAAGCAGGTCTCCCAGAGTCATTCAGTTTCACCATGACATCGTTCAAAGGCTATATGGGGTATCACTGGCCTTGGACTCAAGCTCAAACTCGTGTCCAGATTTGGAAAACTGTGCTGAGCTGTTCGCCCCAGTGCACCAGGCCAGTGGGCAGTGCCACTGGGGACAGACCCCTCCCTGCTCCATGGCGAAAAGTCCAGGTTACTGCAGGGGCCTTTGGCACACTGGGGACATCCATCCCTCTACCACCCACCTACCCATGCACCTGTTAACTCATCCACCCACCCACACACCTTCCTCTTACCCTCGCCCCCATCCATTGTGGGTCAAACTGAGTGCTGCACTTGTTTTTGTGCAGGAGACAAGAAAGGAGTGGATTCCCACCCTCAAGGAGCTCACTGTCTATTAGCAAAATCAATGCAGGAATAAAAGCAGACAGACAAGTATCAAAACCTCTGCAGTATGGCATATGCTTTCCTGGAGAAAAATTTTTCTGGAGGAAAATTAGGAACAGAAGGAGCAAATAAGGAGGCCTGATGTGTTCTGGAGCGGGGACTGAGACAGGCAGTCAGAGGCTGCCATGGAGAAGATTTTTAACAATAATTTTAATTGTGGTAGAATATGTATGACCTAAAATTTACCGAATTAACCATTTTTAAATGTATGGTTCAGTGGCGTTAAGTATACTCACACTGTCATGCTACTCTTGCCACCATCCATCCACAGAACTCTTTTCATCTTGCAAATCTGAAACTCCATATCCATAAAACAATAACTCCCCGCTCCTTCCTCCAGCCCTGGCAACCGCCATTTTTTTTTTCTGTCTGTATGAATTCGACTACTCTACTCATAGGTGGAATCATACAGTATTTGTCCTTTTGTGACTGGCTGATTTCACTTAGCATAATGCCCTCAAGTTTCATCCATGTTGTGGCATGTGTCAGAATTTCCTTTTTAAGGTGAAATGGACACTTGTGTTGCTTCCACCTTTCGGCTATTTCAAATGCTGCTGCTATGAACCTGGGTATACAAATACCTCTCTGAGTTTCTGCTTTCAATTCTTTGGGGTATATACCCAGAAGTGGAATTGCTGGATCATGTGGTAATTCTATTTTAAATTTTTCATGGAACCACCGAACCGTTTGCTGCAGCGGCTGCACCATTTTACATTCCCACCAGCAGTGCAGTAGGGTTCCAATCTCTTCACATTCTCGTTGACACTTATTTTCTGTTTTTTTTTTTTTTTTTAAGATGACTGGTAAGGGAATCTTAACCCTTGACTTGGTGTTGTCAGCACCACGCTCTCAGTGAGCAAACCGGACATCCCTATATAGGGATCCGAACCCTTGGCCTTGGTGTCATCAGCACCACACTCTCCCAAGTGAGCCATGGGCAGGCCCAATTTTCTGGTTTTGTTTTGAGAGTTGCCATCCTAATAGGTGTTTGGTTTTGATTTGCATTTCCCTAATGATAAGTGATGTTGAGCATCTTTTTATGTGCTTATTGGCCATCGGTGTGTATTTTCCTCAGAGAAATTACTATTCAAGTCCTTCAACCATTTCTGAATCAGATTGTTTAATTTCTTTTTGTTGAGTTGTAGAAGTTCCTTATATATTCTGTCTGGATATCAACTCCTTATCAGGTGTATGATTTGCAAATATTTTCTCCCATTCTGTGAGTGGTCTTTTCACTGTTGATTGTGTCCTTTGGTACATGCCATGGAGAAGATTTTAAAGGGTAGAAGAAAGTCAGCGGTATGAGCTGCAGCGGAGTGAGGGGAAGCTGTTTACACAGAGGAGGAACCAGCAAAATTCAGGCAGCTGAGTGTTGCCAGCAGGGGTGTGGAGGGGGCAGGAAGTGGGGAGAGTTGAGGCTGCGGGAACCACATAACAAAGAGGCCAGCTAAGCAGCTGGGCTTCGTTCTAAGGCGGTGCTATCAGAGTGGTCTGAGGACCCTGCCTCAGCACCCTTGACAAGGACTTTGTTAAAAAATGCAAATTCATGGAGACTCAATTCGAATTTACCGAATCAGAAGCTCTGGAGTGGGGCCCAGGAATCTGGGTTTTAACAAGCCCCTATTATTGCGATGTTAGTCGAGTTTGAGCAGGGTTTTGCGGACAGTGGGGACCCTCCCAGGGGTCCGGCCAAGGTTTTGGAAAGATCCGGGACTGTCGGAAAGATGATCTGGGCTGTTCTCCAGTCTGAGAGCCCCTGGCTAGGCTGTGCCCCCATCGTCCTTCAGCCACCCCGTCCCCATCCCAGCCGGCCGGCCTTCTGGCCTCTGCACGACCCCTCGGTGCCCGCGCAGCGCCCTGTTCGCCTCCCCTCGTGGGGCCCGGGCCGCGGAGGGAAGCGGCTGCTGCAGCCAGGCCCGCGTTCCTCTCACTTCCCGCCATTGTCCGGGTTCCTGAGGCCGTGTTTCCGCACTCGCTTCGGGTAGCCCCACGGCCCCGGGGAGTGGTGACTCATTTCCTTTCTCCCCGGCGACATAATCCCGTCCCCAGCATGGCCAAGCCGGGAGGCGGCGGCCGGCCCCCCTCGCCGGCCCCCTCGGGGCGCGGCGCTTCTCGGCCGGCAGGGGGCGCCGGAGCCCGCAGCGCCTGCCCCGGACTCCCAGGGCCGCCCGCCCCGCCCCGCGTCCCGGGAGGGCCGGGGAACCGCTTCTGTCCCCGCTCTTCCCCGCACGGGGCCCGCTCTCCGCAGCGACCCTCGGGAGTCAGACCCCTCAAGGTCACGGATGGGGAAACTGAGAGGGGGTAGGGGGAGGATGCGCCTTGACCAAGGCAGCACAGCCCACCCTGGGAAGGGGGGACTGGAATTCAGGACTCTCGACCCGATAGACCCGCATATGTTAAATTTATTCTCCACCCTTACCCCCGACCGCCAGTGGTATTTCCAATAGGAAGTTTGCAGACCGTCTTCTCCAGATTTTGATCATTTGTGGGCCCTTATAGGTGGTCGCCCCTGGAACCAGCAGGAGCTGAGGGCAGCTTGGCTCCACCTCCGAGAGCGACCGGAGTGTGCAGGTGCTGGGTGGCGCTCACGTTCCAGGTGCTGCCCCCTAGCCGCAGCTGACCCCGCTTTGTCACGAGGTGCCCCTCACCCTTGCATGCACTCCCCGCGCCCCAGCACACACTGCTGGCTCTCGGGCCCAGGTCTTGTCCTCTCTGCTTTCCCTCCCAGGTTTCAGAGAGGCAGGGAAACTCACTACAGCCTGGAAATTTCAGATATTTCACAAGACCTAGAGCCGTCCAAGAGTGTGTTCCTTTAGGGCATACGGAGAGTAATGTGAAGGCCACACAGTGAGCTGGAACTGAAGCCACACCTGTCCTACCTGAGACCTCTTCACCTCCCCGCACCCGCCCCGTGAAATGCTTGGCCCAGTGTCTGACATAGTGTAAGTACTCAATGAATGGTGGTTACTGTTATTCCTAAGCCAGTTTCCTAACTGCTCAGTGCCTCCGATTTCCTCATCTGTAAATTGGTGTAGCAGTATATATCTCAGAAAGTGATTGTGAGGATTAAGAGAGCTTATAGGTAGAAGGTGCTTATAGCAAAGCCTGGTGCCTGATAAACACACAACTGTCCACCAGCACTTGGGCTCCTTGAAGGCAGGGATTCTGTCTGTTGTCTTTTTAAAAAGAATTATTTATTTTTAATAGACAAGTAAAATTGTGTATATTTATGGTGTATAACATGATGTATACAAGTATATATACATATGTATACAATATATACATATATGTGTGTATATACACATATGCATACATATTTAGAATGCATACATTGTGGAGTGGCTAAATCAAGCTAATTAACATAAGTATTACCTCACATACTTATTATTTTTGTGTGTGTTGTTTTTCTTTGTGTACAGCTATATCTTTAGTACCTATAACAGTGTCTGGCACAAAGTATGAACCCAGTGAGTGAATGAATGTTAACTAGTATTACTGCCTAAGCTGATTTCACTCTAGGATTTAGGCCTGTGAGAGCATGCCTGGAGGACCAGAGGGAAAGATTCTTGAGGGTCTATTTGCACAAGGGATAGAGGGCTTCCTGGGAAGAAGTCATGCTAAGGAAAGAGAGTTGAAGAGCATAAGAGAGGTTCAAGGACAGGATCAGGAGAAGAGAGTGATTCCAGGTAAAGCATCCCTGGTGTTCACACCTGAACTCTAGGAGCACTGTGGAAAGGAGTGGGCAGTTGCCAGAACAAGCATTAGCACAGTTGACTAGTGGTAGCTTCGTGACCATCTGGTGGCTTCACACTTGCTGTGGACACTGATTTTTTTTTTTTTTCCTTTTTGTCTTTTTTCGTGACTGGCAACGGATCGCAACCCTCAGTGTCGCACCCATACCAGACTGGGACCGGCAACGGGATCGCAACCCTCGGTGTTGCGCCCGCACCTCGCTCAGCCAGTGAGTGGCCGGTCTGTATGTGGGATCTGAACCCTCGGCGGGAGCGCCACCACACTCCCAAGCGGCGCACTGTAGCAATGCGCCACCGGGCCGGCCCGATTTTTTTTTTTTTTAATCAGTATTGTAAGCTTTGGAAAGCATACCTTGGAAGGCTGTGAGGCAGATGCCTGCCGGGCTTTCCCAGAAAGGTCTGCAGGAACTGTAGGGGACAGAGCTATAGAAAGCTGGTCACTGTTATGTGGCCCTATTTCTATCCATAGACTGATGTCGTCTTGGAGAACTTGGGCTAATCCAACTGGAAGGCAGCTCTGTCAAGGAGTGGGTTTGCTGTTTCTGGAAGTGTTCGAGCAGTGGCGGGACCCACTCTGGGGGGATGGTGTAATGGGACCCTCTGATGGGTGAGCGCTCGGCCAGATGGATCCCAAGATTGCTGCACTGAAGTGAAAAAGCGAGGCAGAGGGCATCTCTGAGGATGCCCATTCCTGGCCCTGCTGGTGTGACGCCCTGGGAGCAGAGGCTCATGGGAAGTGATTGTGCTCCCAGGCATTCTGGGAAATTGTAGCTGCACTTCCTCCTGAGGGACAGGATGTCTTTGACCCAACCCTGCCCTCCTGCCTGGTGGCCTGTCTGCACCCCCTGAGACGGTGAATTGTGTGGTGAAGGGAGCCTTGCAGGCTCTGGGTTCACATCTCATCTCCATCACTTCCTCAGCAAATCCCTTTACTTCTCTGAGCCTCAATTTCTTCAGCAGTAAAATAGGAATGTAAATATCTACTTCTCAGAGTTGTGGCAAGATAATGTGTATACAATGCCTGGCACTGAGGAGGAGCTTAGAAAATGCCCGCCCACACTCTCTGACTCGCTTCAGCGCAGGGGCCAAGTTGCGCCCTCTTGGAGAGAGACAAGAGCCTTCCAGAAAAGAATGTTGGTTGTTGAAAGGGTCAGGTGGGTTCTTGGATAATGGCGTTAACTTCTCAATTCCCAGTTTTTCACCTTTAATAGGAGGAAATGGGAAAGGGAATCTTAAACACCTGCTGGCGGGTCCATTGACTTTCCTGCATGTGGAAGAACTTTGTAAGCCCTGAATGCTCTAGGTCACACCTCTGCTTTAGCTCTCCAATTAGCTGTGCCTTTAAACCTCTTGCAGCCCCAGCATCCCAGCTCCCAGATCAGAATCCCAGCTCCCCTATTCACTTACTTTGTGACATTGAGCACATTGTAACATTGTCACAGTTTCCTAACCTCAGTGAGGACAATAATAGCTACTTTGCAAGGTTGCTGGGAGAACTGAATGGGATCACACAGGCAAGGTGCTTGCATTTATACAGTAGGTGCTCAGTAAATGCTAATTAGTATTTGTAAAGTGCTTAGAATGGCACCTGGCACATAGTAAGTGCTATGTAAGTGTTCAACTAGTTACTAAATAACTAACTGGAAATGTAGGTATGAATGTATATAAATAGCTGCATACATAGGTATAGATACATAGAGACAGCAGCTGGATACAGGAAGCTCTTCTCTTCCTGTACCTCCCACTCTTCTGAAAACTTCTCTTCCAGCCTCCTCCCCTCCCAGTCCTGGACCCCGCTTCCTCTGGCCACACCAGTGAATTCAAGGTTTGGGGACTATAAAAAAAATGGTTCTTGTTCACAAAGGAGTTGAAGATATTGAAAGAGATGACCTCTAAGGTTCGTTCCAACTCAAACGACCCATCCAACTGTCACTGGAATCCCCTTCTTTGTGACAGCATCTTTTAAGATATTTACTCATGTAAGCTCCTATTTTTGTTCTCCCAACAGCCCTGGAAGGGGTGCTGGGGGTAAAGATTAGTCATCCAGTTTTACAGAGAGAACTGGAGGGACATGAAAAGTATTGGGGTTTCCCCGTCCAAGCCCAGTCAGTCAGCCTGGAGCCGTGAGGCCACATCATAATAATTACCCCTATTCATTGGGTGGCTCCTGTGTGCCCCAAGGGCTCACACACCTTATCTAGTGGCAGTGATTCCATGAGGTCACCATCATATCCCCATTTTACAGCTGAGGAGACTGAGGTTGGATGGGAGAAATGACTTCCTCAAGGTCACATAGCCAGTAACTGCTGAGCAGGGGTTTCAGACCCAGATCTGAAGACTCCAAAGCCATTGCCACTAGACTCTGGTCCGCTGACACTCACTGGGCGTCAGGCCAGACTCTATGATAAGACCGAGAGCGAAGGGTACTTGGACATTGGCCCCCCAAAGCTGAATTCTCCCTGTGCTCTGCCTCTGCGCCCTCTGAGGCTTGAAGGGCTGTATCAGAGAGCAGAGGCGCTTTCTGTTCTATAAGGGGATTTGTTACACAGCTTCCATAGTACACAGTTAATTGTGCAAACAGTCAGTGTAAAGCTGCTGTCTTCACACACAATGCTGGGAAGAGAAGATGGATGTCAAGTGGGGAAGGGCAGGGACAAGCTGGAACTCATGAGGGTGGACTGAGACCCATGTTAGTTCTTGTTGCCTTTGACCTTGATGCAGGTGCAGGTGTTGTGCAGGAGAAGCTGGCACACTTTGTTGAGATGCTAAACACACACCTGGCCAGGTGTCCAAGAAGCTGATGGAGGATCGGGGGAAGGCAGAGTGGTAGCAGGCCTGCCTGCTGTCCACGACGACAGGGTGAGCCAGCAGATGAGTGACAACATGTGTGAGCTACGAAAGTGCCTGCCCGAACCTTCTGAACATTAAAAAAATCTGCATTAGTCACTATTGCTGTGTAACAAATTACCCCCAAAGTCAGTAGATTAAAGCAACATAAATTTGTGATCTTGCACAGTTTCTGTGGGTCAGGAATTTGGAAGTGGATTAGCTGGGTGGTTCTGACTCAGGGTCTCTCATGAGGATATAGTCAAGCTGTCTGCCAGGCCTGCTGTCAACTGGCGACTGTGGCTGGAGGATCCACTAACAAGATGGGTCACTCACGTGGCTGGTGGCAGGAGTCCTTAGCTCCTTGCCACATGGACTGTTCCATAGGGCTACTTGAGCATCCTTATGACATGTCAGCTGAGTTCCCCCAGAGCAAGTGACTTTTCCCCAACAGAAAGAAAGGCAGAAACCACGATTTCTTTTATGACCTCGCCTTGGTCGTCACAAAGCAGCATTTCTGCAGTATCTTATTTGATCCGAAGTTCAGCCCTATTCCCTGTGGGAGGGGACTCTGTAAGAGCATGAATACCGGGAGATGGGGAGCAGTGGGGCCGTCTGGGTGGGTGGTTACCATGAGGGACATCAGGAGTCAGGAGGCCCCAGGGAGCTTTACCAGGGTGTCTGTCCTTCCTTCCCAACAAGCCTGAGAGCTCTCCAAGTTCATGGACAGGCTCTCAAGTCCTGACTTCTCCCCATAGTACCCAGCACCTTGCTGCCTCAACATCTCCACCTGGAAATCCAAGAAGCATCTTAAACTAATACGTCCAACACTGAACTTCTGAATCTCCCCCGGACCTTCCCCGCCCATCCTCTCTCCCATCTCAGTAAGTGGCGACTCCCACCTTCCGGTCACTCAGGCCAAAACTTTGACATCGTCACTGCTCTTCTGTTTGTCTCATTTGCCACAAGCAACCCATCAGCAAGTCCTGTCAGTTCTACTCTCACACTATATCCGGAATCCTCCTACTTTTCACCGTCTCCACTGTTACGCCCGAGCTAAGCCTTCTTATCTCTTGCCTGGGTCACTGTGATTCAGTTGCCTCCTGACTGGTCCCCCCACTTCTGCTCTCACCCCTTAGAGTCCGTCTCTGCACAGCAGCCAGAGGGATCCTGTGCAAAGCAAGCAAGGCCATGCCAGTCCTCTGCTCCAATCTCTGCAGTGGCTCCCACTGACTCCGAGTAAAAGTCAGTTTTTCTATTGGCCTGCAAGGCCCTGCACCATCTGGCCCCCAGCCCTCAACCTGCATGCCCTCTCCAACCTCCTGCTGCCCTCCGCCCCTTGCTCCCTTGTTCCAGCCACTGGCCTCCCTGTCGTTCTTCAACATGCCGTGCCCTCTTCCTTCAGAACCGTCCCAGGCTCACTCCCTCACTTCCTTAGGTTTTATTTCAAATGTCACCTGCTCAGTGGGACCTGCCCCAACCCCGTCTAACCCATAGCCCTCGCACCTCCTCACACCCTGTCTGCTTTCCTTGATTTATTTCTCCCACTGGCCCTACGGATTACATAATTTACTTGTTTATCGGCTCCCTGTCTGTGCCCCTCTGGAATGTCAATTCGGCAAGGGCTTAGGTTTGTTTTGTTCACTGTGTGTCCCCAGAGCCTAGAGCAGTGGCTGGCAGGTGCTCAGAAGCACTTGGTGCATGAATAGCAGGTCCTCAAGAATAATTTTTGAAGGAATAAATGAAGGGTGATAATGGGTAATGTATTCCTTCCCAGAAGCTTAGCATTAAATGAGTCACTTTGCCTCTCTGAGCCTAGGTTCTGCGTGACCAGACACAGGTTTGTCCTAAGAGATACAGTTGTCTCAGACCTGGCTCAGGGCTGTCTGGAGCTCTAGCTGCAGTGGCTCTGCCACCTGCCAGTGGAGAGACCTTGGGCACGTCACTTAACCTCTCTGCCTCTCAGTTTCTCCCTCTGTAAAATGGGGATAATCGTCATAAACATCCTAAGGCATTGTTATGACGATGCCTTGGGTGAAGGGCCCAGCCGGCGCCTGGCACATGTTGGGTGTTCACAGAGAGCCATCTGGGATCTGGGATTTTCCAGAACTTGGATCGCAATAGGTTGGGATTGCCAGTATTTTTCCATAGTGAAGGAATCAATCACTCTGAAATCTGCCCATGAGAGTCAGGGAAAGCCTCGAAAGGGTGGCCTTGTCCCCTGAGAGACACCACCAGGAGGGCAAGGGAGCTCACCGGGAGGATGCCTCACCCGTGTGACTGCAGATCCTGAGCAGCAACCCCATCACCCACACGTCAAATTTCGGAAATCACTCTTGTATCTGGAGACACCTTGGAGATAAGCTCATCCAGAGGCTGCAAACTGGTGGCTGAAGGCTGAATGGAACCCACAGCCCACATTGTTCTGTTTGGCCTGCACCACATTTAGAAAACAACAGTTTCTGAGTGCCTGGAGACAGTGTGACTGAGCACAAGGTCCACAGACCCCACCACTCCCTACTGCCTCACACCCAGCCAGATTCACATCCTTGCTGTGTTTGCCTGGTCCCCTGAGTGGGCCATCTACAAATTTCACAGGTGAGACTCGGAAAGACTCTGACTCCTTGAGAAATCATCTCAGCTACCTGCTCCCAGGATGGTTTTGGATTCCTATCCAGCCAGCAGTTAAGATCACAGTAGCCTCAATCATCTAAAACTGTAGGTTGGTCCACAGGCCCCTTCTCTTTGGTTCTTGTCCTGCCCCCTGTTTTTCATACTCACCTCCTAATTATGTCCACTTAGTTGTGAGAGGAGGGGAGGGAGCCAGCTGAGGTTCCCTCTGCCAGGAGCACCCTCCTCCGTAGCCTGCCCGATCAGCACCTGCTTAAGAACTTCAATCCCGTACTGCCTCCTTCGAGAAGACTTCCCTGACTGCCCCCCTGCCCTGCCCTGCCCTGGCTCCCAACCAGCCTGATCTGGCCACATTGTTCCCAGAGGTGTGCCTGTCAGGGCCCCTTTCAGCTGGGCTGGTTTGTTTCTGGGTCTGCACCTGCCAACTAGACTGTGAGCTCCTTGAAGCCAGGGACTGTGAGTTATTTATTGGATGTGGATGCTTAATAAATGGGTCCTGAAAGTGTAAATAAAAGAATGAGTGGATACAGAAAGGAAGGAAGGAGGGAGAGAAGGAAGGAAGGGACTCATTCATCAGTTTACTCCACACATTTGCCTGGCGGGCTCCTGCCACTTTCAGCACCTACCTCCATCTGTTGTGAGTGTGTCAACTGGCACAGAAGAGGGACCCTGGGCCTGGGCCAGGTGTGCATCAGACTCACCTCAACCCCGCCCCTGGCCGCAGCATCACACCCAGTTTCTGCTTGTCCTGGTTTTTTTGTGGTTGTAAATTTTATTATGATACAATATACAAGCCAAAAAAAATGAGTCATAAGTGTACTGTGTGATGAATTTTCAGTGAACACATTCATGTAAGCCCCACCCAGATTAAGAAAGAGAGTGTACACAGCCCCGTCCCTTGTGCCCTCTCCAGTCACAATTCCCCCCAAGGGTGATCTTTATTCTGACTCTGTCACCATGGATTTTTCTGCTTTGTATGTATATAAATAAAACAGTAGAATATGTACTTTTGTATGAGTACATCTTCATGTGGCAATGTGACAAAATGCCAAAGCTCAAAAAATGAAAAAAAGCAAGATGCAAAATGTTATGTGTGTTCTTAAAACTGACAATACTGCAATAAATATCAATATATGTATCTCAAAAATCTGAAAGAATATATACCAAACTATAAATAGTAATTACTCTGGGAAATAACATTATGGGATAATTTCACTTTTAAATTTACACATCTCTGCATTGTGTAAAATGTTTACAGTGATCATATATTCTGTAACTTAAAAATGCTTTTTAAAATTTCATTTTAGCTGGCTGGTTAGCTCACTCCGTTAGAGCGTAGAGCATGGTGCTGATAACACCAAGGTCAAGAGTTCGGATCCCCTTTCCGGCCAGCCATAAAGATTTCATTTAAATATAAATAAGTGCAATCAATAAATTTTAAATTAATAAACTGAAAGTTTAAAATGACAGTTAATATGTAAACTGAATATGATTCTTCTAGAGAATTACTGTGTGTTACAAGCATTACAAATGTTTATGTTCTTTAGCCCAGTAATCTTTTTTTTGTTGGCAGCTGGCCGGTATGGGGATCCAAACCCTTGACCTTGGTGTTAGCCCAGCAATATTTAATAAAAAAAAAAAAAAAACTTTATTTATAAATATGTTTGTTACATTGCTGATATAATAGCAAAAAATTGGAAACAACTCAAGTGGCTAACAGAAGAATAGTTAAACTGACATTCTGGATAAAAAAAAAGTACTCTTTTGTGTTTGACTTGTTTTACTTAATGCTATGTTTATTTATTCACGTTATAGTTTATTCATTCTCATTGCTGTATAATATTCTGTGGTATAAATATGCCACAATTTATTATTGATTCTGCTGTTGATGGACATTTGGGTTGTTTCCAGTTTTTGGCTCTCAAGAATAGTGCTTTTGTGAACATTCCTGTACATGTCTGGGGGAGCATATGTGTGCATTCATGTTTGATATATGCTTAGCTGTGAAATTGCTGGGTTGTAGGCAAGGTATAAGCTCAACTTTAGTAGAAACTTTCCATTTTCCAACGTGGTTGTAACGATGTTCACTCCCACCACGTGCGTATGAGAGTTCCAGTTGCTCCGTGTGCTCACCAATGCTTGGCATTATGTTCTGTTGTCCAGCTGTCCTGGTGGGTGGATTGTTCCATTTTTGATCACATGCTCGATCCCTCTGGCAGTCTTCTCCAGCTTTCTCTGTTTGGGGTGGATTCTTGAGTCTCGCTGTGCAGTCTTGCTCTCTATATTAGTTTGTCTCCACCCTGCAGACCTGTGACAGGCCTCTTAGCTGTGCACGGGGACTCCTTTCCACAAGGAGCACCCAGCCTCAGGTGACAGCTCCCCGAGAGCATGGACAGCTGGGGATGAGGATGGGGAAGGCGGGGAGAAGGCAGAGACATCTTCCCTCAAAGCCCTCACAGGCCCTTGCCACGGACACTTCTTACTTTAGCTGCCTTGTGGACCCTTCTCAGCTTCTATTCAACACGTTGGGTCGGCATAAAAAAAATA